AACCTACAGTTCTTGTGTATCCTCTAATATTTATTGTACATGATGGAGATTTACATATATACTAACCTGTATTGTACACGGTAATAACTTACTGATACGTATTTACAGTTTCTAATGTTTACAAATCAGTCACTACCAGAACCTTACTTATCCACACTTTTGTTTACTGAGTCATCCCTACACAACACATTTAACATATTTCTCTTAGGTTACATAGGATATACGGTACTTTTCTGACCTTATTCCAACATTGTCTAGGGTCCTCTTTGACCTTATCACAAAAGGTCCAGGATTCTATATGACCTTATTACAACAGCGTCCAGGGTTCTGTCAGAAATTATCGCAACAATGTCCAGGGTTCTGTCTGACCTTATCACAGCAGTATTCATAGTTCTGTCTGGTCTTATCACAACAACGTCCAGGGTTCTGTGAACTTATGCAACAGTGTCCAGGGTTCTGTCTGACCTTATCAAGACAACGTCCACGATTCTGTCTGATCGTATCACGGCAACTTCCAGGATTCTGTCTGATCTTATCACGACAACGCCTAGAGTTGTGCCTGACCTTATCACGACAACGTCCAGGATTATATTTGACCTTATCACGACAATTTCCAGGATTCTGTCTGATCTTATCATAACAGCGTCCAAGGTTCTGCTTCTTCTTGCTATACTGTGGTAAGAAAGTGTAAACTCTAGAAAAGTTGTCAAAGTCTTCTCTTACTTCAGAAAAGCGATTAACGTTGTCACAACTTTTCTAATGACCGAGGGTTGGTCAGCAGTTCTCGGGTCAGGCGCCAGCATTGTTTGGCCGCGTTCTCTAAGGAGCTGGGAGACTTCCCTTTGAAGAGGTCGAGCTGGGGGAGGAAGTAGTGAGGACAGCGGCGACACTGTAGACACGAGATCATCTGTAATAATATACCGTTCAGTCGGTCACCCAGACATGTCTCGTCCCACTCCACCTCTCGGGGGTGCTTTTCACATTCGTACAGTAGCAGGGTCTTGAGATGGTAGCTCGTGACAGGATTTCCCGGCAGTTCTAGGTGACGGTCCCGCATCGTCTTCAGGATGTTCAAGCACTTCTTCCGACAGCCGCCGCTCAGCAGGCTCTTCTCAGCTTCCGTGAAGTTTAACACCCAAGCGTCACCTTCCATTGAAGATTGTTTACCCTGAAGAAATATGCAGTCCTTAGACAACAGATCAAACCCTTCGGCTTTCACTTCGGCTACTAGGTTGGGGTTGGGCCAAGAGATGTGTGGGATTGGCCAGTGGGCTGCTGACCGCGGCCAAAGTCCACTGCAGCGGAACGCCGGTGTGATCTGCACTACGTAGCGTTCTCTGATTCGCAGTTTGACCTCTGTAGTGTCGGCGACCATCTTGACCACGTCTCTGAAACTGCTCTTATCGCACGCCTGAGCCACGAGCGTTTGAAAACGGCTGCGAATCTTCCGAGCAGACAGATAGCCAGAGGCCGTGATGAACTCTACCCAGAGCGACATGGAACGCTTTCGCCCGTCACTGAGCTTCAAGACGGCACAGCCAGGTAAAGATCCGTCGTCTACGAAGTTGAACACACCCATCTGGTTGAGGTAAAGAACCACCTCGAACTCGGTCGGCGAGAGCACCTCCAAGCCATCGAACCTACTGTTACATTCATTAAGCGAGGAGATAAAGCGGGGTTCCTGCACCTCCACCTCCTTCAGCACGTCCTGCACCACTTTACAGACGTCTTTGACCGTTTTGGCGACGGCCACTTTGCGGGCTTGCACCCGCTCCCCGTAGAATTTACTTAGCTGGTACAGCAGCTTGGACTGGGCTGCCACCGTGTCTGACGGCACCAGCATATCGTCCAAGTTACTTCTTAAAGCTATTCGACCACCGACTTAACTTTCACAAAACGCAGCGCGTACGGAAAACTGCAGCACGAGCTCAAGTAGTTTTCACTCCTAGGAGGCCTATCAGTAACTGCCGCCTAGTCCCCACCTTTATGAGCCCATGGCCAACCTGGTAGAGAAACATTTAACATGACGGAAGGGCTGTAGTATACGGTGATTGGTCTGTGGACACAGAGAAAGATGGAAACTGTCCGATTCAATCAGTCACTAGGCTTAGTATGGTGCAGTGTAGATGACATATCCCTCCCTATTTGCGGCTGTAGGAGGGGCTTACTAGGTGGTCCTTGTCTGCAAAAAAAATGAATTATCTCACGTTCAACCTAGGGAAACTCAAAGATTATAGATTCAAATTGTTAGAGTAAACATTGTTTTAGATTAGAACAAGAAATGAGTCATTTAAACTTTATCATTTGATGAATAAAACGTGTCATGGACAGTAGGATTTTAGGTTATACTTATAAAGAATGTTGAATAAAAGTCTAAAGAGGTTATAATTTTATTGTGTAGGTCACTGGTTAAGGCTACATTTAGAGTACTGTGTTCAATCTTGGGATTTTTACTTTAGGAAGGACATTGAATTGTTAGTAAGAGTTCTTAGTAGGGCTACTAAGAGGATAGCTGGAACGGAAAGGTTGTCATACGAGAATATGTTTAGATCTCTAAACTTGTTTACTCTTGAAAAAAGAACAGTTCGAAGGGATCTGGTTAAGGTGTTTAAAATTGTTAAGGGAATTGATCGTGAGAACGGTAAAATTAGGAGACATAACTATAACTCTTTGACAGTGTAGGAGTTTTATTTTTCTAACTGAGTTATTTGGTCTTTCGAACGAGTTGTCTTCAAATGTGGAGGATGCAATTAATTCTAAGAAAGTGTAATGGAAGGTCTGGTAAATGATAGGAACTGGTTTTGAAGTTTTATAGTTTGCTTTAGTCAATGGACAACCTAGATGGAAGGTCTGACAAATGATAGGGACTGGTTTTGAAGTTTTATAGTTTGTTTAAGTGAATGGACAACCTTGATGGAAAGTCTGACAAATGATAAGGACTGGCTTTGAAGTTTTATAGTTTGCTTTAGTGAATGGACAACCTAGATGGAAGATCTGACAAATGATAGGGACTGACTTTGAAGTTTTATAGTTTGCCTTAGTCAATGGACAACCTAGAGGGAAGGTCTGACAAATGATAGGGACTGGCTTTGAAGTTTTATAGTTTGCTTTAGTGAATGGACAACCTAGATGGAAGGTCTGATAAATGATAGGGACTGACTTTGAAGTTTTTTAGTTTGCTTTAGTGAATGGACAACCTAGAGGGACCAACAAATCATTTGTTGCTCTTAAATGATTTGTTATAAAACCTGTGTTTTGTCAACGACATGCATTGTATCCGTTTACCAGACACGTTTTCCATCGAAATGTCTTAAATACAGTCAGTGTGACACACGTTTTCCATCGAAATGTCTTAAATACAGTCAGTGTAGCACACGTTTTCCATCGAACTGTCTTAAATACAGTCAGTGTAGCACACGTTTTCCATCGAAATGTCTTAAATACAGTCAGTGTGGCACACGTTTTCCATCGAAATGTCTTAAATACAGTCAGTGTGGCACACGTTTTCCTCGAAATGTCTTAAATACAGTCAGTGTGGCACACGTTTTCATCGAAATGTCTTAAATACAGTCAGTGTGGCACACGTTTTCCATCGAAATGTCTTAAATACAGTCAGTGTGACACACGTTTTCCATCGAAATGTCTTAAATACAGTCAGTGTGGCATAGGTGGGTAAATACGTTGTTTAGAACTAAACGAATTTCTGATCAAGTTTGTGGGTTTTTTATTAACAGATCTTGAGTTATATAACGACAGTAAGAGTTTCTGATCAAGTTTGTGAGTTTTTAAAAACAGATCTTGAGTTATATAACGACAGTGAGAGTTTCTGATCACGTTTGTGAGTTTTTAAAAATAGATCTTAAGTTATATAACGACAGTAAGAGTTTCTGATCAAGTTTGTGAGTTTTTAAAACAGATCTTGAGTTATATAACGACAGTGAGAGTTTCTGATCAAGTTTGTGAGTTTTTAAAACAGATCTTGAGTTATATAACGACAGTGAGAGTTTTGATCAAGTTTGTGAGTTTCTTAAAAACAGATCTTGGGTTATATAACGACAGTGAGAGTTTCTGATCAAGAGGCTCGGTGATCTCGTGCATAATACATGTATCTACTGTCAATATAGGTTAAGCGTGGTGCAACAAAACAGTCTGTGAGAAAACTGATCTGAGAGAAATGTAAGCTTTATATATATAACTCTATATAAACTTATAGTTCTTAACATGATGTATATATATATATACATACATATATATATGTATAACTCTATATAAACTTATAGTTCTTAACATGATATATATATATATATATATACATAATATATGTATAACTCTATATAAACTTATAGTTCTTAACATGATATATATATATATATACATACATAATATATGTATAACTCTATATAAACTTATAGTTCTTAACATGATATATATATACATACATAATATATGTATAATTCTATATAAACTTATAGTTCTTAA